AAAAAAGGGTGTCTCAATGCAGTTCTCGACCGCAGGCATGTCCTCAAAGGCCTCCCCCCCCCCCCCCATAATAAGAATGAGCAATCATTGATCAATCATTCTAAGAAAACAAAAAAATGTGCAAACCATAATTTTGTGGTACAATCCCATCCGAAGAGTGGTCCAGGATACAATATGTTAAGGAAAAAATGGAGACCCTTGAGGACATGCCTGCGGATGAGAACTGCATTGAGACACCCCTGAGTCAGTTGGTTCAGTGGTCTTGTTTGTTGGTCCTGAGGAACCCTTGTATTGGCTGTTTTGCTTAGTTTTCTTTTTTTTAGTTTAACAATACTTACTATTCATTAATTGACTAACTACTAACATGGCTGTTCATTCACTACAACAGAGAGGTACTACTCTGGCTACTATGGTAAACAATGAACAAGTTGGTTGTTTGCATACTCATGTATATCTATACATATGGTGTGTTGGATGTTTGCTCCACTTCAGCTGACCAAACAGTTACTCAATTACTCAGGGCTGAACATCACTTTTAAGCTGAAGGGTGGCAGACCCTGGATGTTGAAGCTCTCGGTTATGGCAGTGTACCTCATTGCATGTTCTCATGTCAGGATCTCCAGTTGTTCACCCTCGACCCCCGTTGTTCAGTTACCAGAGAGTGTGAGAGTGTTTCACAGGAGTGCGCCAAGGCCCAGCACCGAAGAGATGGGGAAGAGGGCGGAGCAGCAACCAGGGATGGAGCCGAACAATCGGCAAGAGAACAGAACTGTGGTAAAGGGCTGAGGAGACACACAAGACAAGCATGCGTACACCATGCAGGCACACTCAGATCCCCTAATACATACCGTAGTTATCACAGCACGCGCTAGAGAGAGAGGTAAACACCGATCTTTTTCACACAAGCATACAAGGAATCATACACCAGTCAGGCCCTTTATCACGATCTGCCCTGATGTTCTTTTCCAACCCTGGCAAAAAACCCCTCTCACCTTTGACCTGGACTTACATGGCATCCGCTTCTTACAGTACGATGTTAGCAGGCACATGTGGCCACAGCTAAGCAGACAGCCAGTGAGCCAGGAGAAAGGAATCTCTGTTTCATGTAGGGCTCTTGGGCATCCCTTGTTGGGTGCATTTTTTTTGACTAATGCCTTATACCAAAGTCATGCCCAAGTGTGTGTTAAAAAAACCACACATTATATATACGGATGGATCATTGAGTAAATAGATACAATTTGAGTATGAAATGCATTCATTATTTTCTTCTCATGACTTGTTCAGTAGCCCTCTGGTAATTATCGTCAAGTTCCTTTGACTTAGAAGGCGTGTTTTCTTTAGATTTTATTTCATTTTTGTCTTGAATACAACGGTCGTCCCGTGGGTATCTGTAGCGGAGAGCTCACGCAGGTTCAGCATGAGAGATGTATCAGTGTATAACTGCCGCACGGCAGGCCGATGGATGGCACACGTTTTGCAGGGACTCATTCTACTGGTTCAAGGGGGGCAGATAGATTGGAAAGACAGTACTGTAAGATGCGATTTGGCTTTTGTTTGAACTGCGCTAGCAGGTGCCAGAACAGTTGCTCTGTGAGGAGTATACCTTTTAACACTGCACAACATTTTTTTTTGTTATGTAAAAAAAGTGTGTGTTCTGGCAAAATATAGTTATGTCAATGACTATAAATGTGGACACAAATACGTACTGAAGTATAATAGCATAGAAATATCTTCTCAGACTTGTCATATTTTTTTTTCAAGAACTTATTACACGCCTTTGCACCCAATAAGGATATATTAATCAACCTAAAACATTTGTTGATAACAAATCAAAATAGGGAGGTTGTATAAGGGATTACTTTCTAGGATTCAGAAGGGAATGGTGGAGGATTCCTTGAAGGCTGTCTTTGCACTTCAAACCAAAATGTGTGTTAAAACACATTTGTACCCTTCTACCCCTTACTAGACTTACAATCTTTCAAAAAAAAAAAAAAAAGTCTTTGGAATGTTTTTTATTATTATTTTCTACCCACCAATTTAGAAAATGTTGTGCTCATTCCAACTACATTCTACATTCCTTTCATTGTGTTTTTTTTTTTTTTCTCATCTCAGGTGGTAAATCTTAAAACTTTGTGCTGTTCAGGCAAAGATGACTAAGTAAGGCTGTTACAGCTTGCCTCCACCGGAGGGCAGTCTGAGCTGTAAAAATTGAATGTGTGGGTGGAACTGATTGAAGGTCAATGTGCTTCTTTTTTCCTCCATACATGATGCGATTACGATGTAGAATTTTGAACAAAAATAGAACAGCCAGGATACACTTGAGCCACATAAGCTCACAGAGGGGAAAATCCATTTTGAAGTGCTTCTCTTCGAAACATCTTTGATTGTGTCCCTTCTGTAATTTACAGGGTCATGATACGAATTGTCAGTGCTTGCAGGCTAAGGACTTGGTAAACATTATCATACATTTCAATAATTAACATTAAGAATGGCAGTAAATGTTGGGATGTGCAAAGACCTGTCCCCTCTGAGACTCTCCTCCATCATTCCCATCAGGCTTTGCGCCAGTCCCATGTCACAGGGACATACAATATGCCCTTCACAAGTATTCACAGATTGAATCACCAATACAGTATAATGCATTAAACACATTTCATAATGGAACATTCATATGTTATCTACACACTCATACAGAACCCTCCTCTATCAATGTAGAGGGATTCATATGATACTTCTGTTTATATCGCATGAGATACCGTAGGTTCATTATTTTCTCTCTGTACGGGATGTTTTTTTCCAAAAATAAATCATGACTGTGTGTTTAGACTGTCTTGACAGATTTTCGGGTTGACAAACACACATCTCCTGCAGGAAAATTTAATGATTAGAAGGGAGAGAAGGAGAGAGCCGAGTGTCAAATGGAAAGAGATAATATCTGGAGAGGAGGAAGAGCAGAGTGAAAGAAAGGAACGCATGTGCATCATACTGTGTAAGAGGAGGCGACAGAGCTGTGGGAGAAGAAGCCTTCAGAGGGAGGATTCATACTGCAGGAGTTCATAAAGAAGCGGACCGTCCCTATACCTGATGCCCACCGCATTAGGGCTAATGTACTGCAGCACATTTATGGTCCTGCGCAGGCGCCGATCCACAAAGTGTGCATCCCAGGCTGGGTAGCGTTTTCTGGGCATGTCTATCTTGATGAGCGGACCCTCAGGCTGGATGGGCCTGCCAGCTGCATCCACGGGCTCTGTGGACCTCACCTGGAAAACCGGAAGGCAGGTGTCCGTGGGTGTTTCGTCTGAATCCTCGTGTTCCCCTGCCATACCCCGTGTGGGGGTGGCCTGAGAGCCACGGTGCCCCGGTGTGGGAGCCATGGGCTCGGCTTCGGGGGGTAATGGAAGGCCCCACAGAAGCTCAGCACAGCAGGAGCTGGCCAGCACCCTCAACCGGGGACCCATAGGGTGAAGAACCCCGTAATAGAGAACCATACAGGCCACACCTGAAGCAAAGCACAGGAAGACACCACAGAGGGCAAAAGAGGCATAGGCGTCAGTGGTGACTGGGTCACGGTACGCATACCAAAGGAGACTAAGGATGGCATTCTCTAACAGTACTAGTGTGTAATAGGCCACCATTCTGTACCGTGTCCGGCCCGCACGTACATTGAACCAACAGAAGACATAGACCACGCCCACCACCATGTTGAACAGTACCTCCTCCCACTTGGACATGCAGAAGTCTGTGCCGCCATGGATGACCCAGAAAGCCATGGCACACCAATGGAGCACCACAAAAATGCCAAAGTAGATGTGGAAAACTGAGGCAAATAGAGCGAGGGAGAGCACCCGTGAGGAGATGGTAAAGAGGCGCCAGAACAGATGCACCAGGGCGCCTCTGTAACTCATGCTCTTCTTGTCGTCACGTGAATCACGCAGGAGTTTGTGGTAAGAGGCTAGCACCCAGGCCAGGGACAGAAGGGAGGAAATGGCAGAAACACCTGGGAATACAGATAGAGAGAGAAAGAGTAAGAATGGCAAGACTGATACTGACAAAAGCTGTGAGATGGTTCTAAAAACATCAGAAATTGCAAGAAAAATCCAGCTTCCTTTTAAAGCATCGCCCAAATACTTATAGTTTTATCTTGACTTGGCTGCCATTCCACTTACTGTATACAGTACATTTTATTTCAGCCGAAGCAATCCATCACATTTTAGAATGCCACATTATTACCAAGATCATCATAGGTCATTCAGTCAACATGCTCTCCATTTAGAGCACCAATATCAGTTTCCTTAAGAAGAATAATAATAGTAGAGACAGCAGATATGTCAGAGCAGTAACCTGCTGCATGAAAAATGATAGAGGATTATCTGCAGAACAGCAGCATGTGGCTTCTTATCAAATGTATTGATACCATTGCTTTAGACACACAGACAGGGAAGGTATCACTTGTTATGATTGAACTGCCTTCCTTGGGGAGCTTGCACGAGGAAACTAGAATTGTAAAAGAGGTTTCGATAACAAGCGAGTGATGAATGTTGGAGACTGGATACAAAGGTACACTGTAAATAACGTGATATGGGAACTTCACGGAAAATGGATTGTCAGGTGTAAAATGCGGAAGATTCTTGGCTTCATGCGGCAATCACTGTATGACATAATGCAAAAACTAAAAAATAAAGGATATGAGAGACTACACTGAAACAGAATTAGACTCCAGAGCCTTAGGGAAGCCCTTACACTGCAGCCACTCAGCCTTGTTGCTCTGGATCATGATGCAGAGCTGCAGCACCAGCTGAGGGGCACTTTCTAAGAAGGTCTCTAGAAGTCGCAGCATGTTGACATCGGCATACTCGTACATCATAGCCCAGTAAAAACGCCGCTGGTTCTCCTTCTGCCGGTGACTTTGTATACCGAGGTACATGGTGCGGATGTACCTACAGAGGGAGGAAGGACAAACTGTTAGCCAATGCAATAACGAATATTTCACCGTATTGATACAAAGGTACAAGGACACTCACGTTAAAATAAGTATTACGTCTGCTACCAAAAGAAATCCATAATACACAGTTCAGAACACTTGCACATGGTTGAGTTTGGGCATACTCTACATACATACTCTAGCTACACTTACTTAATGCACATTCAAATATAGCAATCTGCATTCATGAGGACTCTAGATTGTTACTGGTGCAGCAATGACAAAATGTAAAACATTTTACAAGCATCTCTTTGGCTTCTGAAGGTGGTTATTGAACCTGTTATAGGGTGCATATACAAGCATGGCAATGGTCATTAACTTAAGTTCACCACATGACTCATATTGTCAGCTGGACCTGCTATTTCCATGACCTATGGGGTTTCATAACGATGAAGTGACTGTGGTGATGCCGGGGAGACGGTAGGTACAGTAATGCAGCTGAGGAGTGGCAGCTAATTGAATCAAGCTCCCCGTTGCCATCAAAGCTGTACCACTGCTTTCATGGCATTGTGTACTGCTGGGAAAAAAATGTAATATGCCCGAAGGCTGTGATATAGCTTATTAAGATCGTAATCTTCTTTGAGTATGGATTTTGAATGTAACAACCGCCAATCAACGTGCGTGGAAGAAGACAATGAGGAAAACATTGAGCGGACTGAAGCTTTGAACAGGAATATCACACCGCAAGCTTTATAATGCACGGTAATAAAAAGAAGGAAAACTGCAGTCTGGCAGGGTTTTATCCTCTCCAATCTGTAAACAACTACGGCCCTTCAAACATGTTAACCCAGAGAGCACATCTCCTAAACAAGTATGACAATTATAGTGGTTTATAGTTATCTTAACAGTGGATTCAGCCATTGCGTATTGGGTGGTATAGCTGCGGGGCCTATCTGCCTGAGCTGGCAGAGTGGCCAAATAAATCCAGCACTTGATGTGAAGGCAGTCAACCGAGGACAATAGTGTAGCAAGGACAGAAATAGACTAGACAGAAACACTCCCCGAAACAAATTGAGAGGCCATGGATCTAAATACAGTTCCTAAAAGTGAGACACAAATGCACTGCAGCATCGCAAACAATGACAGAAAATGCTAGTGAGTGGTTTTCAACATAATTAGCTTCTACATTAGCTATTGGAGAAGAGATTACTGTTTAATTTGAAATGAGGTTGAGAGCAGTGCTCTGTAAAGAATGCATCGTCTAGTAGGGTCTGATTGCTTTTGGTTATTGTTTTGGCAAGATTGAACCACTTCCTATTCTCCCTACATCCAATGCACCACTCACTAGACCTTCAGTGAAATGTGATAACGGCAATATGAAATACATCTTGTGCCCGTGGAAGGCCTGAGAGGAAATTGTTAGTTTCCTCGGATCACAAAAAAATTCTTACCACCTTGACAAAATGTTTACACATGATTTTGATTTTGAGTCTTCAATAGGACGTTTATTTTGTTCACTAAATAGTCATTTCATGGCCAAGAAAAGCAGCATGTTTTGGTGAGAGATCACACAAAAAAGATGAATGCAACATTTAACGGTAAATAAGACGAGTCTGAGCACACACACGAGGAAACTAAATTGGATCTGTCTTTTTCTTTCCGGCCCACAACAAAGCTCCCTCTGCGACACGTGGTCCACTCAGTCAGTCAGTCAGTCAGTCAGTCAGTCGGTCAGTCGGTCAAGCAACTAACCTGATAAGATCCTCGAGGTGGGAAGGAAACTGGAGAAATTAACAAAAACGTCCACACACAGCAACTGTAGCCACAACATTAGTGTGGAGACTTGAAAGGTCTGGGTGACGGAGTTTAGGAGCACAGGGATGGTGGTTTTTCTCGGGACAGTGGGCAGGGGGAACAAGAGAGGGGGCAAAATAGACAGAAGGTTTTTTTTGGGATCAATAGCTCTGGGCTGTATAAGAGGCACCATTATATCCAGATGTAAAGGCTGGCATTCCGTGACATTTTCAGTTGGACTGGTAAATGTCAGATGGAGCAAGTCAACCCCTCTCCCTCACTAATGACATGCCACAGAGACCTATACACAGGCCCTTTGTCTCCATATCCCAATTTCCATTAGTCCGTGTGTTCCACCGATACGTCTCACTGGTCTGTAGTGCCTCCTTCAGAAACAGTAATCTTCTCGGTCCCCGTAACTGTCTCGCTTTGAAAAAACAAGACTCTACAGCCATGTTAGCATCTCTGTGAGGCAGCAGTGCTTTGAGCTAAAGGCTAATGGCAGCATGCTAACATGCTTATGTTTAGCAGGTGTAAAGATATTATTATACAAATGAAAATTGTGACATGTATAGCTTAAAATAGCTTAAAATGCATCCTGTATTTATCCTGTACTTTATTGACAGTTAACTCAAAACCACCGATGTGAACGTCACAGTGGTACTAAAGTAAAATTCCAGAATTTTGCACCAATCCATCCAAAAGATGTTGAGATATTTCACAGGATAAGTGAAAAGTTCGACCGAAATGTGGCGCTAAATGAAAAGTCAGGGAATCACCATAGTCAATCCTCTTCGCGACATGGGTGTCTGTACCAAATTTCATAGCAATGCATCAATAGTTTCTTAAATATTTCACTAACAAACTGACAATACCATTCCTAGAGTTTCCGACTGAATCGCCTTGATTGATATATAACAAGCTGTGGATATCTGGTCTGGTATTCAGTAGTGGTGCTCACTTGGATTTTGTTTAACACTATGGCCTATCGTTAATTTCCAACTGACATATTGCCATATGTGCAATAATTCACACTTCAGCTCTGACATTCAACCACAAAAAAGTAACCGGGTTCTGACTGTTACACATTCACATCCATCCCGTTAATCTCTGATAGTACACTTTATTAGTTCAGCTTCCCTTGGTTTCAGCAAAAAAAAAAAAAAAAAATTCTTGTACAAAAATCTGAACTCACTCCATCACATCTCCAACACACACACACACACACACATAGCGCATGCCTTCGCAACAATCTCACACACATCCCGCTATTGTGATGCACACTGTTAACACTCCCACTGTGCCTTTTTTCAGTTGTAGTAACACAAATGGCTGTCTAAAAATAAGCACACACACACACACACACACACTAGCAAGCATACTTGTCAGTGTGATAGGTAATGGGGGATTTCCTTTCTATTGCAGACACATTTCTCAGATGGATCCCTCTCTGCCTTCCTCCTCTTGCCTCCCACCCTGGCATCACTTAGCCCCCCCCCCCCCATCCCCCCCCCCCCCCCCCCCCTTCCCCCCCCCCCCCCCCCCTTTCAGCTCCATAGCTCCTCTACAGGGCTCCTCATGAATTATTTGTGGCGAGATCATGGCAATTGCTCATGGCTCGTTAAGCAGCGTGCGCATGGCCTAACAGCTCGACGCTGTGCCGGGGTCGTGTTCCAAGATCAGCCGTCTGCCACTACTGTCGAGACACAGGCAGCCATTAACACCCCCCCTCCCCCAGATTTGCCTACATTTGAAATTGACTTTATCAAAGTTGCTGTAAGATATGAAACTGCAGGTGTGAATGACATTTCGAGATCCAAGGTGGAGCCACAGTGAGGGACAGGTGGAAACACAAACACACAGCATGTGGGTGACGACTTGACATGTCGTCCCTCCCTCTCCTCCAAAGTCATTGACCGATGAGTCATCCAACCACCATTACACTAATCCCTTGAGTGGGTGGTTAGAAGGATCACACACACACACACACACACACACACACAGACCTTGCCAAGTTTAACAGCATCTGTCTTCTAAGTCATGCTCGTAGGAAGGCTCAGCAGCTCAGACTGCATTCATATCTTGGCATAAGCTGATTCATAAGGAGATCACAAGTAACATTATACAGCAGCATGAAGCAGAGCTTGCGCATCGTCTGTTAACAGGTGGAAGCCGGCAGAACGCTAAGCACGGGGGACACACAACATACGCAAGGCCTGAGGGTTATGAAAAGTGTGTATGTGTGTGTGATTAAGGTGGAGGCAACGCCAGCTGCAATGAGTCACACCCTGAGTCCCACCGAGGGGCTGCACATCGACTCTCAATGAGATTTAAATACCTCTCCCTCTCTTGGCTTCTCTGTGTCTCTCCCTCTTTTTCATGACTCGAACACCACGCCTCGCTTCCATGACAGAATTCAATTTCTGTGTGCTGAATTTTTTTTTCTTCTTCTTCGATACTGTTTTTTTTTTTTTCCTGAGGAAAGCGGTGGAGGGTGTGTGTGTGTGTGTGTGTGTGTGGCTGTGTGTGAGGTGCTGCCTGTACATGACCATTCTGTTTCCTCGCTACCGTCTGGCTCTGTCTCCACCCTTTCGGTGCTTTTTCCTCTTATTGCCTACATCGGCAATCCCATCATGAATGCAACCTTTTTTTTACCTTGTGTAGGGAAAATTGTTTCAATAATCAACCCCTACTGCATATTCATCTGGAAGCTGAGGTCAGATTTCTCAAGCCTTTTGGTCCTACCTGAGTTACCTTTATCATTTATAATCTAGTGGATGCACATTGCTTTTAAAGTCTGCCCGTATTATCTTATAGGATTCTAGCGTGTCTCAGGCTGATGATGATAACGATCAATTTATTTCTCAATTCTTCTCTCTCTGCACAGCCCTCTGCCTGCCTGAAGGAGTCAGCATGCTTCAAATGAAGCAGGCTGCCAGGTGTTTAGAGGTGAAAAGCTGCTCTAAGTTTAACTTCCCATTCTTTTAGTGGAAATTACCCGAATTATGAATTAGCAATCATACTCACACACACACAGCATTGCCCTCTTATATGCTCCTATGCAGCCTATATAAACGGCATGTATGTGAAGCAAACACTGTTGTGACTTGCTATGAAAGTATGTAAGGGACAGAGGGCTGTCTATATAGTAGTAATATTTCTAGTGATTTTTGAAGGAGAAAAGTCATCTTTTCACTCAAGCCGTTGTGAGGTCAGCAGTTC